CTTTAGAATGGCAAGCAAGAAATTTGGGGAAGTAGGTGCACACGAAAGTGAATGCACATCTGTGGTTGAATACAGAGATTCCATATGCAATATCTGGATCCTGATCCATCTGTTTAATTCTACGAGAACTAAGGGTACCGATAAATTTGGCCACATCAGTTTATCTTTCATCTGTTAAATTCAGGCCATAATTATATGTATTCAAATTCAGAGATCTAGTTAAGTTTGTCACTAGAAATTCAACAAATGTATAATCTGATTAGGGGTGCCCGTCTTTGCATACATCTGTATTTTTTCTTCAAAATATCCACCCATTAATTTTTCCGTCAGTTACTTGCCCTAATTAATTAACTGGATTACAAGCAGATCTGCACACATGAGAATGATCATGTTATTACTGCCATGTTAAGTAAAGCATAATGTAATATAGAGACAGTGTAAATGTGAAGGGCAGACAAAATAAGTCAAAGATTAAAAAAGTGTGCATGTCAAAACTTCATAATGAAGAGAATAGACAATTGTCACCACAACACATAAAATTGGACTTTCAAAATCATATAAGTATTTAAATTTAAAGAAATCTTCAGAAAATAAGGAAGGAAAGAATAGCAACTGCAAGTATAGCCACAGAGTGAATGAAAAAATAATGCTACCCAACACTTTATTCCATGCACTGTTTATGTCTTAAATGTCAGGATGTGAGATCTCTCCTCTGGGATTTATGAGGAACTGTTGAAGGAGATTTCAATCTTTCTCTTAACAAGGAATTTTCATCAAAGAGAGAGTAGATAACACATTTTCATCCAAGCCACTGGAATAAGAAAGATCTTGCAGGGCATTTTTTTTTAGCTCGTTTTTTTTTGCGGACTTCCATGTGTTTGTGTCTTTAAAGTGTATTTCCATTTTTGCAGCCGAATTGGGATAGCATCCACTATATACTGTATCTGTTACATGTTCTCATTCCAATAGCTTAAAAAATACATTTATTTAAAGATTGCTTTTTACGATCTGTTGCAGTGTTTTGTCTCTTACGTAAATTTAAAGGGGAGGGATGTTCAGAAGGGTTCACTGTGAAGTTAAAGTTTACCATAATGAACCCTGCTTGTACTGTGCTGGCAGATTTCATTATCAGTTGGAAACTAGATTTGAACACTGTCTGTCCTAACCCATAGATAAACATCTCACAGCTTGTGTCATGAATTTTACGTTAATAAGAATAAACTCAGTTTATCCCAACTGTGTGCTTCTCTCCTTTCATATTGCTTAGAGCAGTTTACAATCTGCTCAAAGGTCTGCCCAAAAAGAAATATCTAAAAAGGTAAAAAATATTTGTATTTCTTTTTAGGTATGCTGTGTAAAGAGAAACACATAACAGACATATAAGGGTTTTTCTCAAATTTGACTGCAAAAGTAGAAATAAACTTTAAGATGTATTTTAAGAAATACTCCTGATTGAACTACCGTATTTGCTGGCGTATAAGGTGACTGGGTGTATAAGATGACCCCCTAATTTTTCAGAAAAAACATAGGTTTTGGGCTTTACTCGTCATATAAGACGAGTATAGCCCAAAATAATGTTTAAATACACCCACTAATCTGTCAGCCCACTGGATGTGCGGTAATACTGTATGTACGGTAGCTTCGGCTACATACAGTACACCGCGCTGAGCCAATCATGGCGAGCAATGTATTCTATGAATGAATACAAAGCCTGCTCGGATTGGCAGAGTTTGTGTACATCGCTCGCCGTGATTGACTCAGCGTGGTATACTGTATGTAGCCGAAGCTACCATATATACAGTATTAGCGCACATCCAGCAGGCTGACAGATTGTATACCCGGCGTATAAGACGACCCCCGATTTTAGGGGGTTGTTTATAAGTATAAAAAGTTGTCTTATACGCCGGCAAATACGGTACTGTATAAATTCTCAGTGGCAGAGGATAATATGCTGCAACATGTGTCAGAGTCTCAACACATGTGTTGTTATTGAAGTGTATTTAAATCCTAACAATGAACTTCTCTTATTTGCTCCCTTTTTGTCTTTATTGTACTGGTCATTTTAGTTTTTTCAAGTTTAACTTGAGGTAGACACAACAAAAACAAAAAGCATGACATACTCTCAAGTAAGGGATCCACTTTTTTTTTTCCACACACATGAATGTTGCATGTGTGCCCCTATCTGACTTCATATCAGCTTCTGGTAATCTCCTGGACAGCAGTATTTACATGGAACTAGAGGTGGGTTTGAGGCAATTTGAGTCAATCTACTACTTTCAGAGAACATGCTTACAAACAGGAGGCTGGATCAACTCTCATTGATTTGCTGCTGCTTTTTCCTTATCCAATGTCTTATCCAATCTCAGGATGAGGCAGATCCTAGGAACAGGGTGTAGGACTGGGTAAAAAAACAAAAACAAACATGCAGTACATGTCTGCAATACAAGCACAATTCCCAATGTTTTGTTTGTTTAGGGGTCATGTACATGGGTGTGTAACAGAGCAAATACAGGCATAAAATATGCACAGATATGAGTCACTCAGGAGCTGCAGCTCCTGCATTTTCCATCCATAGCAATGTAACTTACCCCTGTGCAAAGATACATACCCACTTTTGAATGCAAAGATCGATGCCGTAAAGCCACAGCAGCTGTTGCTGCTGGTTGAAGTAAATACAGGTGTATTCAGTGCTATATGAAAATATGCCAGTATTTGCTAATCAATACACCCATGTGCATAAGCCATTAAAATGCTGCATGTGCAGAAAAATGCTTGTTGGTCTGCAGGAAATTAGTGTGCTACTAATTTCCTGTTTGAGCCAACAAAGTACCTTTGCTGCTCTAAGAATCTTTGTAATGTTATCAGCCCTATCCAGTTTGTTTCTGCTGGACTACAGACCACCTCCCACTCTCCTGGCCTCCGTTACATAAAAGGAGGGGGGACTTTCATAGTCCAAAAGGGGAGAACTGGACATGGAAAACAGGAAGCCTGGAGCACACTGTATTTCTGGTAGATAGACAATAATTTTCATGTAGTTTTAGGCATTTTGAAAGTAATTTGGAAGAGACAAAACATTGGTAAATGTGCGCATATTGCTGAGATGTAACGCATGTTTTTTTTTTATGTTGACCTGACATACTTTATGCAGGAAGGTTCACCACCTGGTTGTGCTGTCCCGAAAGGCATGTCCGGATTACAAGAGTAGCTGAACAAAATGACAAATCTTTTTGCAGGTATTTCAGATTTTAATGTGTGCCTGAAGTTCAATTACTTTTTAACAATATCCCTTTTCATCAAATATAAAACATCAAATTAGAGTCATTTGAAAGAATTAAAACATTTAGTAGCCTCCCCTCCTAGCATGGTATAGCTGTTAACAGTTGGGGACAGCACAGACCTACAACATTCCACTGGCTCCCAATGATCCTAAAGGAAGGCGGACAAAGATAACAAATTATTCTCCTTGTTCAGTTTAGTAGATTAGCTAATTTGCAGATCAACAGTCCTCTCAGCTGCAAAAGCTGAGGAGAAATCGTTAACCGTTTATAATTAAAGGTTAAATGCTTGGTGATAGATTGTTCCTTAATTAGTTCCTCTGCAATGTATAACATCCACAGAACAAACCTTTTTCAATTCTTGGGTACTAGGGGGTTTAGAGATCATCAACCCACCCAAGCTTCATCTCTAATTGCATGCTTCAGACTCAAGTGCCCGTTATAGCATTTGCCTTACACCCTATGGGATATCTTTGAAGTAGGCAGTTTTTTAACATTTATGTACATTAATCTTATTTCGGTTCCCATGCAGAAAACGCATTACACTGTCAGTCGTTTGAACTGCAATATATTTTAATAAAGCAGTGATTCAACAAGGACACAGCACTGCCGTACATGCAGATAGCCATGTAAGGGTGCGACTGCAAATGTGTAACTGAAAATCATCATTAAAGCATACAAATCTGAGAAGATCTACAGTTCACCAAATGTAGGCGCCTCCTTGGTAACAAGTCTATCACAAGAACCAAATTAGAATAAGTGGCCTGGAAATTCTTCAATACATCAAAACCAATGCCGGCTATACACGTTGCAGTCTGCAGACACAGGCTCTGTAAAAGTATGGAAAGCAAGGGCCCACCTAAACAATCCATTCAATTTATATCTAATCAAGTGCACTACATATCTTGCAGAAATTCTAAATCAGATTGTGCAGGGATTGTAATGTGTGTGGCTAGTTTTAGAACAACAAGAATTACAGGTGTATGTGCTTTAAAATACAGTGATTGTTTCACCGGCAGTAAATGTTTGGGGAATGTTAAATTTTCTGCTTCATTAATATGCCCCTATGAGCCATTGTCAAGTTAACCAACACACACTGGCTACTGACATATCCAGGGAGCAGTGGTACATGATTTGCACAGGAGGGGTTAAGGTGTTTATGACAGCCTTGCTTTGCTTTCTCAATGTTAGGCAAGAAAGAAAAAAAAAAGATGGCAGGGCCCAATGGAGGAATAACAAGCTTTCTGGGGACAGACTGGAGTAACTTTTTTTTTTATTCACTGATCATACAGTGAGTTGTTTATAAGCTGGATAGTTCATATTTGGCAGCAGTTCCGTACCCACTTTAACTGATTCCCAGTTGTTGGTTGAGACCGGTAGCTGACAGTGACTATGTGGTCTCACAGCTCAATGCGCACACCTCCACATGCACCTAGCTGTTAATTGGATTTTTGATCGCAAAGAACCATGAGAAATTATTTTAATCTACAGACTGTGGGTGGGAAGGAGTTAAAACTGCTTTTTAATGATAAAAGGTGCACCGTTTTAAAAAAAATTATGCTGTTGCTGTTTTTTAGGACAGGTCAGGATTTATGTAGTCTTATAAATTTATTGATAGGTCCACTAGAAGCATTTCCAATTCAAACACTACCCTTACATTAAACAACAACAACAAAAACTCGATTGGTCTAAACAATATCTGCAGCGTGATTTATATATGGTTACCTTGAATTGTTTGTGGCTTAGTGGCATTATCGAAATCGCAGATCTTTGCCCACTCATCACGTACAGCTTCAGGTGTCATTGGGTGATTTTTCTCTCTGATAATGGCGCCGAGAGTTCTTTCCCATCGCACTAATTACAACAAGGGAATAGAAAATATTGATCAGCATCCTCAAGGTGATGGCAAAGAGTACGAATACATGCAGAATAAACTTACTTCTCAAGGATAGTTTCTAAAGGATGTTCAAAAGTGTTCAAAACTAACTGTCCTGTTTGCCAACAGCTTTATAAAAGGTCTTGCCATTTCCCCAATACTACAAAGCTCTGTGGCTCAGGAGGGAAGAGACCTTTCGTTCCAAAACTTATAAACACATGCAGGGTTTTCAGTCCCTTTGTGAAAGCACAAAAACCTGTCTACAAAAAGCGAAATTACATTTTACTCTGAAAAGCTGGCCCTGCAGACACCAGCAGAATGGAAGTGAAATGCTGTGGAGTGGTAACAATGACAGGGAGCATCCATGGCAGGCTGGAGCTGTGATACTGGAATGTTATGGTCTTCATAGGAGATAATGAACAGGTTGAAAGCATGCAGAACACCAACAAGTTAATGTAAAAGCATCCAAGATGTACGAGTGATGCTCTCCTCAAGACATTTTTATATGTGGTGTAGTGTAAAGGTAAATAGTGCTGCACTTCAATGCTTTTTAAAGTTATCATTGTGTAAAGTCACAACACTTAATATTTGTTTAGTCTGCTGATAAGGGCCAGTGTCGTTAAAGAGTAAATTGTAAGGAGAAAAATATATCCTAGTCTGTGTGAGAAAAAAATGGTAAATCCAAAGCTAGGCAGCTAGATACAGTCATGAGCAAAAATATTGGCACCACTGCATTGCTGTCAGATAATGCACCACTTTGTGCAGAAAATTGTTGCTATTACAAACGTTTAGGCATTCTCATGTTTATTTCTTTTGTTTGTATTGGTATGACACAAAAAAAGTGGAGAAAGAAAAGCCAAATCTGACACATTCCAAGCAAAACTCCAAAAATGGACTGGACAAAATTATTGGCACCTTCAATTAATATTTGGTAGCATTACCTTTGGGAAAAAAAAATAACTGATATCAATCGCTTCCTGTAACCATCAATGAGTTTCTTACACCTCTCTGCAGGAATTTTGGACCACTCTTCTTTCGCCAACTGCTCCAGGTCTCTCAGATTGGAAGGGTTCCTTTTCACCAACTGCTGTTTTGAGATCTCTCCACATGTGCTCTATGGGTTTCAGGTCTGGACTCAGTGCTGGCCAGTCTAGTCACTCCAGCGCTTTGTCTGAAACCATTTCTGGGTGCTTTTTGACGTGTGCTTTGGGTCATTGTCCTGCTGTAAGACCCATGACCTCTGACGAAGACCATCTTTCTGACACTGGGCCCTACATTGCACCCCAGAATTCTTTGGTAGTCTTCAGATTTCATAATCCCATGTACACAGTCAGTGCCTGAAGCAGCAAAGCAACCCCAAAACATCAGTGAACCTCCACCATGTTTGACTGTAGAGACTGTAGTTTTTTTCCTTAAAGGCCTCATTTCTTTTTCTGAAAACAGTAGAATGATGGGCTTTACCAAAAAGCTGTAATTTTGTTTCGTCTGTCCACTGCACATTCTCCCAAAAGGATTTTGGCTTACTGAGGTAAGTTTTGGCAAACTCCAATATGGCTTTTTTATGTTTCTGTGTCAGCAGTGGGGTCCTCCTGGGTCTCCTACCATAGTGATCCCTTTTCAATAAGATGGCGACGTGTAGTGTGAACTGACACAGTTGTACCCCTGTGCCTGAAGGTCAGCTTTAATTTGTCTGGAAGTTGATGGAGGGTCTTTATCCACCATTCGAACAATCCTTTGTTACAATATTTGATCAATTATTCTCTTTCGTCCACGTCCAGGGAGATTAACTACAGTGTCATGGGCTGTAGACTTCTTTACAACGTTGCGCACAGTGGACAAAGGAACATTAACCCTTTAGTGACCAGTGACATCCATAGTACGTCACTGGCACCGTGCCCGTTTAAACAGACTCCTGGCGGCTTTGCTCTGTTTACACTTGTAAAGCTGACTGTCGGCTTTACAATAGAAGTGATTCTGGTGCCTTAGCTGTCGCCAGATCACTCTCCTGGCAAGTAAACGTGTTTCTCGGGCTCCGCTGCCCCTTCCACAGGCCCAGGACTGGTCCGTTCACCGATTTCCTCTCCGAACTAAGGGATCGGGAGCCTCCACGTCATGTAAACATACGCTGGGTGCGTCTACGTATGAAAACGACGATCACGATATACAAGTTGTATATCGCCGTGCACGCCAGAGTGAGAGCAATAATTCTAGGGCCAATATTTATGCGCATCTCAAAACTGATGACCTGCAGGCGGTTTTAAAGTGTAGTCTACAGACTTTTTGGGGTACTGAATTTTATCACCGTTTCACAGACGCACACAATTTTTAACCTGGGCATGTTGGGTATCTATTTACTCGTTGTAACCTCATCATTTATAGTGTATTTTAAAAAAAATAGGTATTTTATTGTGTTTTGGGGCACTAAATGTAACTTAAGTGCATTTTTCACGCAATTTTTGAGTTTGATCATAACTTGTGCAACATAAAAATTTGCAACTGTCATCATTTTATTCTATAGGGTTTTGGCTTTCAGAAAATATATAATTTTTAGGTGTTTGAAGTAACTTTCAGGCCTAAAATGTGAATTATAACATGGGTGCAAAAAAAGGAAAAAAGGCTTAGGTCATGAAGGGGTTAAGATCTCTGGAGATGGACTTGTAACCTTGAGATTGTCCATGCTTTTCCACAAAAACTTGGAATGCAATTATTTCTTGATGTACCCCATCCAACACTATGGGATGTCAGTGGGCAGGCAGGTGCAGCCAGGCACTAAATATTTGATGGCCAGGCGGCAGACAATGCAGGAGGTCACAGTCATCGCATTAGTAAGGAACGAATGGGGTGGGGGGAAGTTATTTAAAGAGGGGGGATGGGGATTTTTGTTTAATTCATCATGAACATGTACTTTAAAAGTGTGGTTCCACTTTTGCGACAAATTGGGATAACGCATACTTTATATTTGTTACATGTTCACATTCATAAAACATAATTTAAATATGTACACATTTCCGCTCTGCATTTTTAAATACTTACCTGGCTTCCCTCGTGTGAAATGTTAAGGAGGGGGCTGTGGGAAGTTATGTTTGCTCTAATTAACCCTGTCTGTACTGTGATGGCAGATCTCATTATCAGATGTAAGCTAGAGCTAAACACTGCCTGTCTTAACAAAGGTTAAATACTTAGAAGCATTGTATGTTAATGAGAAGAAGCTTAGTCTGCAAGTGAAAGCACAGGGTCAGACTGAGGGAAAAAACTTGGAATCTCTACAAAGGCCTTCACCTAAAAAAAACAGTGAAAAGGAACGATATATATCTTTAAAGAATATTTTAGGTATGCAGTGCGAATAGGAACACTTAAAACGCAGAGGGTTTTTGTCATATTTGACTGAAAAAGTGAAAATACACTCTTAGCCTTATCCTCTAAAAGTAATTAGCCCCCTTTGTCAAATGCCAGAGGCTCTACTGCCCACCGACGTTTTAGCATTTTACAGTAGAAATGCAGAAGGCTGTGCTAAGCATTAGAAAAGGGTGAGGCTTAATTTTGACTTGGGTTGGAATGCATATAGTGCCAAAGTATGTATATGATGTGGGAAATTTACTGCAAGTAGAAGACTATGTATAAGAAAAGAGAGTGATCAACTGTATTTAACCTGTATGTGGATCTTTTCCTTTTGTTTCTTATAATCATCATATTGAATCTTTCCTTTGTTTTTTGTTTTTGTTTTTGTTGGTTTGTTTTTGGTCATTTTTTTAATGCTGTGATATGAGTAGTGTATAGGTTATGTACATGTCCGTAAGCTTTTAAAATAATACAATAAAAAGTATTAAAGTTAAAAACTATTTGACTTGGGCAGAGGTCTAGGCCTCATGTGCAGCTTGTACCTAGAATTAAAGGGGCTCCACAAAGATCAATCTGCAGACTAACAAGAGTAACTTGCAGCATCACTGTTACCTTAGTTGGGTGAGGTTCACTTCACGGGCCAAAAGTTACAATGTATCCTACATAATATTGAAAGTAAACTGACCTAAGAAGACATTCACTTAGTGCTACTCATCTCATCTGATGTATGATTGTATTAGCCCATTATACACTTACCTTTGCCTATATTTAGAAGTAGCACAATAAGCACTATAAAAACTATAACTAAATCTTTTAAAAAAGGGTACTGATAATCAATATGGACAAAAGGGAGCATGTGCCCTCCATTTTCCTACCCGCGCTAGAATTTGCACAACACTGAAGACCCCAAAGTGGAAGAAAGAAAAATGTATTTCAAAGTAGCATTAAAGTCTGGATTTTTTTACCTTAATGCATTCTGTGCATTAAGGTAAAAACCAAGTACCTTTGTCTCTCCCCCGTCTCTCATTCAAACTTACCTGTCACCGCCGATCCCGAAGCGATTCTCCGCTCCACATTTTTCCTATTTTCGGGGGGGATAGTGATAGAAGAGGAGCCATAGGCTTCTTCTACCATCAAACTGTTGGGTGGAGAGGGGGGTCATGGCCTGCTGCAGGGCTGTGTGCGTCTATAGACACACACAGCTACTGCGGGCATGAGCATGCACGGGTGCCTCCACAGCAGCTGCTTAGCTGATGGCGGCAACCGTGCAGGGGGCAAGGGGATGAGCGATGCACGGGCCCACTAGAAAACGAGGAACTAAAAACTTTTAAAGAAGATGTATGCAAAAGGAGGGTCTCATAGGTGGAAACATTAAAAAAAAAAAAAAAAACTTTAATAGCACTTTAAAATAAAGGTAACAGTCTTTTGAACACATAGAGGATTTTTTTCAGACTTTTATGGTGCTCTTGAAATATGACAAGAGCCCCATAGCACCAGGGAGTAACTAGCATTTTACATGCTACTAGCAGCTGAAAAAAATAAACCATCACAACAGCTAAATGCATTTTTTAATTAAAGAAATCATTGTACATTAGGTGTTAAAACCACCAAGTAAAAATGTCATAACTAAAAACAATAAAAAATGGAAAAGCGCACGACCCGGAGTAACCACTTCTAGAGATGTGGGCGTCAAAGGGTTAAAAGACAGTGTGCAAGCTCTATGGACAACAGGGTGAGGAGCCCTGTATGGAGCAACAATAAGCAGATGTATTGAGAGCGTTACTACTGTTTGAAAATTCACTCACATTTTTGGATGTCACTGTGTCTCAGGAAGAAATCCTCTGTAATCACTATGCACAATGTAGTATTTGGCCAGGATACAGGGTGAGATGACAGTGGGGTGAGTGGGGTGAATGCCTAGATGGACCAAGTGTGACAATACAGTCGGGTATTGGGAGCTGTGCAGACTCAGCTGGCCAGGCTGAGCCGCAACAGCAATGTTAGATGTATGCTGAATGGATGTCAGCGTACAAATGTCATAGCCATTAATAAAAGTTTAAGAAACGTTTACCTCTCTGTTGAATAAGTCCATAATATCAGGTGATACTATCACTCAACACCCCACTTTTAGGATACAATAAGTGATAGACAACTTGATGAGTCAATACTATAGGCATATAAAGTTGCACTTCACAAAAGGTACAAAACTAAAAAAGCAGAACCTTCTAGAGACCCATCTGAGAATCTGCCAGAAGCAAGTGGCACTGCATTACACACAATTTAGCTTAAAGCAGATTTTTACCCCCCCCCCCCCAACATTAAAAATCCTTGGTGCATGCAGCGCATATAAAACACATTACAGTAATTTATTAATTAAAACATTTTTTGTAACTCACTTTTAATGTGCTCTCACTTCCTGGTCTTTTGAGGCACTGGTAACGTTGCCAGGGATTTACAGCTCCCCCCTGGGAAGGTTACATCACTAGTGCCTAGCTGGGAGATTTATAGCTGAAAATTAAATTACCTGAATAATTCATAATAAATAATTATTCCTCCCTTTCTGGATGTACCCTGTACTAAAAGTTTATTTGTAAAAATTATGACAGAAATCAGTAAGGTAAGCTGATTGTTGCAAGGTTTCATGAATAGTATTTTCTGTTTATCACCTGAGTCGTTTCTGTGCTTTGACATTGATATTTTTAGGCAGAACATTCTTATCTTTATCAGTATTACTGAATACCCAAAAGAGAAGCACTATTTCCAAAATACTCACATTTTCCAATCCATCCTGCTCCAACCTGTGGAAAGACATGGTGACAGTTTAAATTATGTTCATCTCTAACCCCTTTTAGATCATAACTTGTGTAAACAGGATTTGCACCCCATTCCCTGTACAACACAGGGACACAGAGATGGAGAAAAGATGACCCGATACTGAGGGACAAGCACAAAACAAACTCAAGCACAAAACAAACTAATGCTGGCCATTCATGTCTCAAATTCTGGGCAATTTCTGTTGAACCGCTGGAAATTTATGCGGTTATTGTTTGGTTATTCTGACAGCCGCAGCTTTCGGCTGTCTAAATACAGGCGAGATTCCCCCATCCAATCTGTTTAGCATTAATGGGGAATCTATTAGATTTCTCATGTTCAGCCTGAAGAAATCTATGTATGACTAACTTTAGCTTTCTTTTCTTCTGTGTTCCATTTATCTTTACATGGCTTATCTTAGACTTCAAAACCATCAAAAGCCACTCTAAGAGCTATGCAACTTTATGCTTCTATCAGAGATTTTATATATATACCCGACAGGTATGTTGTCCCAAATATCTTGGAGAACTAACCACAGATTATAAATCAGGGCTCTGTGGGGCCCAACCATCACTTCCAGGACTCCGTGTTCTTTACGCTGAAGATACACTATATTGCCAAAAGTATTGGGACACCCCTCCAAATCATTGGATTCAGGTGTTCCAATCACCTCCATGGCCACAGGTGTATAAAATCAAGCACCTAGGCATGCAGACGGCTTCTACAAACATTTGTAAAAGAATGGGTCTCTCTAAGGAGCTCAGTGAATTCAAGCGTGGTACCGTGATAGGTTACCACCTGTGCAATAAGTCCATCCGTGAAATTTCCTTGCTATAAATATTCCATGGTCAACTGTTAGTGGTATTATAACAAAGTGGAAGCAACTAAGATCAACAGCAACTCAGCCACGAAGTGGTAGGCCACGTAAAATGACAGAGACGGGGTCAACGCATGCTGAAGCGCACAGAAGTCGCCAACTGTCTGCAGAGTCAATAGCTACAGACCTCCAAACTTTGTGTGGCCTTCAGATTGGCACAACAACAGTGCATAGAGAGCTTCATGGAATGGGTTTCCATGGCTGAGCAGCTGCATCCAAGCCTTACATCACCAAGTGCAATGCAAAGCGTTGGATGCAATGGTGTAAAGCACACCGCAACTGGACTCTAGAGAAGTGGAGACGTGTTCTCTGGAGTGACGAATCACGCTTCTGTCTGGCAATCTGAACGACGTGTCTAGGTTTGGCGGTTGCCAGGAGAACTGTACTTGCCTGACTGCATTGTGCCAAGTGTAAAGTTTGGTGGAGGGGGGATTATAGTGTGGGGTTGTTTTTCAGGGGTAGGTGTAAGCGCTGGGCTTGGCCCCTTAGTTCCAGTGAAGGGAACTCTTAAGGCATCAGCATACCAAGACATTTTGGACAATTTCAGGCTCCCAACTTTGTGGGAACAGTGTGGGGATGGCCCCTTCCTGTTCCAACATGACTGCGCACCAGTGCACAAAGCAAGGTCCATAAAGACATGAATGAGCGAGTTTGGGGTGGAGGAACTTGACTGGCCTGCACAGATTCCTGACCTCAACCCGATAGAACACCTTTGGGATGCATTAGAGCGGAAACTGCGAGCCAGGCCTTCTCGTCCAACATCAGTACCTGACCTCACAAATGCGCTTCTGGAAGAATGGTCAAACATTACCCATAGACACACTCCTAAACCTTGTGGACAGAATTCCAAGAAGAGTTGAAGCTGCAAAGGGTGGGCCAACTCAATATTGAACCCTACGGAGTATGTCTGGGATGCCATTAGAGTTCATGTGCATGTAAAGGCATGCGTCCCGATACTTTTGGCAATATAGTGTAGTACTTTAGGACATTGGCTGTATGTTTGGGGTCCTGCTGCAGAATGATTTTGGGGCCAATCACACGCCTCCCTGATGGTATGGAATGATGGATAAGTATCTGCTTGTATTTCTCAGCATTGAGGACACCATTCTCTATAGGTTGAACTCGATGGACTTCTTTCAAACTGTCTAACTATGTAACTATGTAACCATGTAACCATTGATCCGGACCAAATCTCCAACTCCATTGCAGAAATGCGGCCCCAGACTTGCAAGGAACCTCTACCATGCGTCACTGTTGCTGCAGACACTCATCATTTTACCACTCTCCAGCCCTTCAGAGAACAGACTGCCTCCTGCTATAGTCAAATATTTAAAACATTTTCAGTCCAGAGCACCTGCTACCATCTTTCTGCACCCCAGTTTCTATGTTTTTGTACATAGTTGAGTCGGTTAGCCTTGTTTCCACCTCGGAGGTATGGCTTTTTGGCCGCAATTACTCCATAAAGAGCCCACATCTGGCCAGACATCTCCGGACAGTATATGGGTGTACCTGAGTCCCAGGTTCGGTGCTGATGGCACTGCTGGACATTTACCAATGCCTAAGGCAAGTAAGCATGATGGGTCTTTCATCTCCAGCATTAGGTTTCCTTGATGGAACACTGTCTACGTTACTCAACGTTGCCCGTTTCTTTGTGCTTCTTCAAAGGAGCCTAAAACCCCAGTCCGCTTTGAAATCTTTCCTGGGGAAAGACCATGCAATATAACTACCTTGTGTCTTGTTGCTGTGTTTAGTTTTGCCATGGTGTATGACCTGTGACATGAAACGGTCTTCCACAACCTCACCTTAGTAGCAGAGTTTAGCTGTTTCTCATCCAGTTTTAAGCCTCCAACACAGCTATTTCTGTTTCAGTTAAAGTGACATTAAACCCTCAGATTTATTAACATACACCAATACTGTAATGTGTGCCTTACTGTAATCCATGGTTGTTTCCCTTCTCTTTGCTGCTCTTCCTTTTTTTGTATCTCTTCTCATGCTGGGGGAGAACTTCCCTTTGCAGCTAAGTGCCTCTTCCTGTAATGCTGGCTCAGGTTGTGAACCTTCATACAGACACCATGTATCCATTAGAGAGACAAGGCAGTCTGCTGCAAAACAGAAGTTCTGTCCAGCATGAGAAGAGATACGGATTTAAAAGGAAGAGCAGCAAAGAGAAGGGAAACAACCATGGATTACAGTAAGGCACACATTACAGTATTGTTTTATGTTAAAAAATCGGAGGGTTTAATGTCACTTTAATGACTGTGTTTCAACCAATCTATGAAATTGATGATTAGCACCTCCTTGGTATAATTGGTTAAACATGCACCTGACTCTAGTCCTACAAAATCCCTGACTTTGTGCATGTGTGCAAGTATAAGAATTGATGCTGGTTTGAAGCCAATGGGTAGTCACACCAAACATTGATTTGATTTAGTTTTTTCTTCTGTTCACTCACTTTGCATTTTGTAAATTGATAAAAATATATATTTCTGAAAGCATTCCTCTTTTATAGCATTTTTTCACACCTGCCACCGTACTGTACATATTAAAATATTAAAAGTTTTACATTCTGTAATAAAGTTGTAATGTTGTCAGTATACTTTCCAAAGTCTGCTCAATTACAGTTCATTTTAACAGAGCAAAACACAGAACAATGCATAGCTTTTCCTAAATTTATGAAATACAAAAATTAATTGGCCTCTTGACAACTGAAGAAATTCTCACCTCGAACAAACTGCCATTTTCCTGACAGCTTTCATGACAGAGCCACAACACCAGAGGAGCCACATACTCCGGCTTCAGAGCATCCACAAGATCTAAAATTAAACCAGACAGGCAGGCTGAGTGCAAAAAATATGTTCTCATTCATGTCATACTAGGCTGCAATTGTCTAGCATGTCGATGTTTTGTGCCATTGTTTTACAATCTAGCCCAAGGCTTAAGTGGTACTGAAACAGATTTCATGAAAAACGAAGTACAGATTGTTGCAACTAGACAGAGAGCACACAGATCTATTTAAAATGTCACAGGGGCATTCATCATTTCTAAACTACTGTCAGCAATTGCCCATTAGCCAAGTAGGAAAATGTGACATCAGTTGGGTTTAACATTGGACCTGGTCCATATGCTTTTAAGCTATGGTTTATTTTCCGAAATTAGGTCTTGTGCTTGCATCAGAACTGCTCTTATACCCAATGAGAAGGCAAAAACAGCTTGAAAGAGCTTAGAAGATGCTCAGAGGGTGCTTGGAAGCATCTCATTTGGCCATCTACACAAGTCCAAATGATGTTCTGTAAGACCAGAACTGCAAAACCTCCTTAATTGACTCCATTTAGAAAAACAATCTACCCTTAAGTATGGTTAATATGTGTAACTAAAAAAAATACAAAACGTTTGCATGCTTGGCGTGCAAGAAAAATATGGTCATAGTCAGGAAGCATGCCAATGAATATATTCACTTTGTCACCAGGAATGCTTTGTATGGACTATTTGCCACAAAGATTCCCCAATTGGACTGAAAATGTGAAGCAGTTTTTTGAAGCCTAGAACAACACATTTCACACCGTTATGAAGTCACTTTCACCCCATGTCTTTATTGCATGATTAGCCTTTCACTGGAAAATGTACTGTCCCTTTATCCATTTTGAGGAAGGGTACAGAGTCTGGAAACTAGGTTCCTGTCATACTTATCTTTTTCTACATGCGCATGGGCTCCTTCAGTTATGATTGTCATTACATTGCAGGTTCAGGTACAGGTAACATGTCAGGTACAGGTATGTGAAAAAAAATGTCCAGCTTCTTGGAAAAGAATGTATGAATTATATTCATTAAATAATGATTGCACCAGATAGGTTGATTTTTTTTGGGTGTACATGACTTTGATTTTAATCATCACAAGGTATAGTTTCAATATCGGACTGGAAAAATCAGTTATTTCCATGTATTTATTGGGGTCCTGTGTGCATACAGGTTTTACTGTTCATGTGTTCATCCCAAATTCAGGCACTTTTGCAGTACACTAAACAACGAGATTAGGCATTCTTAACATTCTCTTAGGCGGGACCTTTACTTTAATTTTAAATAGACGACAAGTTGACTTTACAATAATGCTTTTCAATTATGTATTCAGAGGCTTTGAACAACAAACAACTTTTTATCAGTTCAAATTAACATTGAAATTATCATTTTCATCTTAACATACCTTACGCCACACATAAATATTTGCTGAGATTGAGAATATGTCACAAGCCTGGAGAAGCTTACTATTCAAGGATCCCAAGTGTTTAGAATACTCAAGCCTGCAGTATATGCATAACTACTGCCAGCACCACTGGGTATGGTTTCCCATCTGCATATAAAATCCTCAGTTTGGAGACTTTAATGAATTTGCATAGCAGAAACTGTGAGCAGCTTCTTGTCTCCCAGAATAAAAATCCCAGTAAAGCAGGCGCACTTCTATTCTTGTCAGACAGAGGCAGAAATAAGCAATGTGAGCTCCAAATCTACTTTCACTCATCCCACACTGCTTAAAGATTTAGCTTGCCTTTGCTGGAGCTCATCTGTAGAGGTGTTTGTTTAAATATTTAGAGCCAAGCTGGTGCCTCATTGCTCCTACTATCTAGGTCACAAACTCACATCTTCAAAAAAAACATTCAAAACTTGACCAGGCATATTCTATGTTCCTGAATCTCCTTCCCATGTCTGCGTGAATATATTCCACCAAGTACGCTTACTCTACTGCCCCATTTTCTTTCAACAGACTGATAATAATAATAATGCAAATGGTTAATAGTATATTTTCAAGGAAAGCTAGAAAGTATTTTAATTACTGTAACTTTCATTTTACAGAAATGTTTAATGTGGCTGTCACATCTTTTTTACTTGTATGCTGTGTGATATTTTTACAATTGTACTTTACATAATGATTTTTAGGTTCTTCTGCTAGAGGTCAACTGCATGTCCAGGACACGCAAATATGGTCTAAAAAAAGAGGCATCTTGTAAGCTTTTTGTATTTCTTCCAGATCTGTGCAGTAATCCAGCGTAAAGCTTTCCATCTGTGCAGGAGCTTCTTGTAATAATGACTCATTACTGCTGCTTGTACAGAATGACTGGTCTTGTATCCTCCCCCCCTCTTGTAGTGGGTGGGCCTTCTGAGTCCCACCTCCCACAGCTCTGCTCTCTCCACAGGCTACGTACAGCACAGTGATGATGCCACCGCTACTTTTATAAGGTGATATGTGGGTTGGCAAAGACAATTGGGGCATATAAAGTGGATTTCTATCCTTTGTGGCTATTAATATTTTTAAATTAACTTTTGTGCCTGGAGTTCAGCTTTAAAGTGGAAGTTCACACTAGAATTACTCAATGAGCATTAAACAGCCATTTAACACATATACCGTAATAAATGCATAGCACCATGCTTGACTTCCATCTGCACTCTGATTGTCCAGCAATCAGCATTGGAAAATTGCTGGCTATTACCAGCAACGCTGTGCAAATCCTGATGTTTCTCAGCCTACCTCATGCTATCAACATTCTGTGATTGCAAACTGCATGTGACTGCTTGAATGTGCTTCCTCTGTGCCCTGATACTGTCAAAGGGGTAGGATAGCATGAGGGGGGCTGAGCGACATCATGAGTTGCATGGTGTTGCGGATAGCAGCCAGCCGTTTTCAAGCTCTAATTTCTGGACAACTGGAAACAAACACCTCTATAGATGAGCTCTGGCAAAGGCAAGCTCATCTCTAGATTCTATTCTTTTTATTGAGTCGGAGTAGGAAGAAAAAGAAACATTGAAACAAATTTACCATGTTGCACTTTGCAAGATGACCACAACCTGATGCTAGCCCAGCTTGAGCATCAACTGTCATGAATGGGCAAGAACTGGACCATGTAAGATTTTCATTGTAGACCGTATCAAGCACATCTGATAGTCAGAATAATTTATTACCGTACACAAAGATTTTCTATCCATCTTGATCAAAAATCTCTGTGTGATGGGCACCCATCCTCAATTTACTCAAGAGAAAAGTTTTCTGTGCTTGCACCTGTACACAACACCACTAAAGTAATAAAAAGAACTGCAAAAGGTTCTGGCAGATGACATGCTCATGCGTCACCACCCACCTTCAGTGAAATGTATGCTCGCCCCATAAGTGTGCTTGCACACCTACAACTGGAAAACAAAACCCTTTAAAGTACAACTGCCACGAGAGAAATCTGTGAGCTGGCAAAGATGTCCTTCTGAAAATGCTAGTTGTGGACTTGGAACCCAAATGCAAACAAATGAAAGTCAAGGAAAAGTCGGAATTTCTCATCTTTAAACTTGTCACGGTTCAGTGACTAGGAGGGTATTAAAGCCAAAGCATCAGCATGTCAGTCAGGGAGGTACTATTTTCACAAGGAAAAGTCAGCGAGGACAGCATTCTTAAAAGAAGACTGGGCAAAGATTTTGGCAGCTGGCGAGAGAGCTCGTGGAAGTCACCTCGCTGGAGGGCAGGCGAGTGCACTTCTTTTCTAAGGACCGGGTGGAACACTGCAGTAATTATTGTTGTACTGCATGCGTTACTGCTGCACACGTCATAAAGGAATTGTATGTTGCCATTCATTTTGAATGGCATGCCAAATGACATACACAAAACACTTCCATTACAGCAACAAGACACAGTGGACCAGATAAACTATGGTTCAGATATTTCACTCACGTCAATATTTGGCACAAAAGGAGCACCAAGAGGATGATGCCGCAAGACAGTTACACATTCTACTATGCACCGTATAAACTGTATGCGCTGTGACATAATAGTTTATTGACGTGAGATGCACCAAAATAGGATGTCATACCAAAGTTCGTATTCCAAACAACCAGCAATCTTTATCTGGCCCAATTAATAAATAGAGTGAGAAGTGTGCATGTGCAGTAGGCTTAAAACATGCCTCTGACTTCCTTTCTTAAAAGCACCATGCAAAGACGCACAGTGAAGATCTACTGGTATTGATACACTGCATGCATTACTGTATAAATCTTGTAATGAAAGGCAATGTTGAAGAGAGTTGTACTGCACCATACATGTTACCTACTGTGATAGGCAGTATAAAATGGAGTGAAATTTGCACTGGTCAGTCTAAGAAACATAAGTGGGGAATCCATGTGATGCAGGGTAGAGTCTACAAACAGTTACGCAATTTTACTAAGACATGGTATTAATATGTATAAATAATCATGGGTTCTACTATGCAAATAAAACCTTCTTACTAAAACGTAAGGAATTAAACTAAAACTGCAGTTAGACTAATGCAGAACAAGTCTGCATTGCACAGTAAAATTATACATTTTGGACCAGTCTATGCAATGGAACTCAATATGAATGGGTGTAAATCACGAAAGACTGTAAAAACATGCAATGGTAAAAAATGAAGTGTCAGTGAGTATTTTAAAAACATTGATAGGTATTATGTCAGCACTCCCAAACAAAATTCAGAACTTTTCAATAATAACTCTACTTGAACAGCTACAGAAAGTGTGAGCAAATGTCAGTTAGTAAGGTAAGGTAACTGATTTCTACATGATATGACATGATTACCTTGTGGCATGACAGTCTGAGTGAGTCGGGAACCAGCAGTGGGTGCAATCGCATTAGAATGGACGTTGTACTTCTTCCCCTCAATAGCCAGGGTGTTGGAAAGACCCAGCAACCCAAGTTTAGCAGCACTGTAGTTAGCTTGGCCAAAGTTTCCATAAATTCCAGCCGCTGATGAGGTCATGATTATCCTGAAAATGTAAAGCATGAATTTCAGTTAAAAAACAAATGTTTTATTTTTGCATGCAGAGCAGGTACTCTGTAGGTCAGCTTTAGGGAAACATGTTTGAGAAGCATTTATCCTATGCTAAAAATAATATATTTATTTATATTACACATTTAAATAGGCACGTGAAGAGACTGAGCATATTAACAGAGAAAGTTTCCAGCCTCAATGATGCCCTTGGTTTTCCACAAGTCTGGCAAATGACCTAAGGAAGGATACTGGGGGGTTAGAAAAAAAAAGTATCAAGTTTTGAAAAACCACAGAGGTCACTGGTAGCTCTTCCCAACTCATTTTGCCCACTCCTGGACTCCATTAGAGCTCGGAAACTGCATGATGAGAAGCATATTTTGTTTGTTTACCCCTACTACCAATTTGACAATGCAATATCCAAATGGGAGAGAACAGGAAGGAGAAACTAAAGTCCTGACACCCAATACGTATGCACACAACAATACATATGGACATCAGAGGAGTCTCACCAAGAACTGACCATATATATTCATGTTAGGTCTTCACCATCTGGTGAAGGACCACAGTGTTCTTTAAATACCACATGACAATAATTGCATTCCCTCCCCAGTGCCCCACTGTCTGCTGACTTTCAAAGCAATTAATAACCTTTGCCCACTTAGCCAAAGGATCTACTAAAGCCATATATCTCATTCTTCTTTCGCTCCTCATACAGAAAAGGCCTGGACATGTATATGTGTATGTATGTATGTATGTATGTATGTATGTATGTATGTATGTATGTATATATATA